TCAGCCTCCCAAGTGCTGGAATCACAGGCACTCGCCACCATGCCATCTCAATCGCTGGCTCAGCACCCCCAGGGGCAGGGCCAGTACGGCACGCTGGGGATCGAACCCCAGCCACTGCACTCTGCCTAAGCAGACACTTCAGTTCCTGAGCTATCAGGCCGGCCCTTCTTATCTTGTTAATGCCTTGGTAGACAGCCTTTGAAAATAGCTTCCAAGGGTCCTGGCTGCCTGTCATCTTCTCTTCCTGTAATCCCTGCCCCTTGTGTGGGAGCTGGAGCTAATGCCTTACTTTTAAAATGTAGAACAAATTCAACATGAGGTTTCCCAAAAGACATTTCCAAGAAGAGGTTATGAAAGACTTTGGCCTCTGTCTCACCGGAAGCCTCTCCTTCTGTCCCTTGCACTGTTGGCTGCTCTCTTCAGTGAACCATGTGGAGCTCCCAAAAGGAGAAGCCCACGCAGTACGGAACTGAGGGCAGCCTCTGACCAGTGGGCAAGGAACTCCAGTCTTCAGATCCACAGCCTGTGAGTGACTCCTGCCAGCAACCCTGGGTGAGTATGGACCTGGACCTTGAGGTCCTCCAACTTGGAGATTTCTAAAGTGCAAAATACTCACCTCAATCACAGTCTCCCAAAGGCCCACAGCTGATGCCATGGCTGCAGCTATGGAGAAACTAGGAAGCACCAGACCCAGCTATGCCTAACCTAGACTCCTCACCTATGCAAACTGTGAAATTATGAAGATGTGATGTTTTTAGTTGTGAAATTTGCATAATTTGTCACAAAGCAATAGGCAACTAATATAGCTGTGAAAGTCAGGTGTGATGGTACATGCCTCTAATCCTAGCACTCTGGGAGGCCAAGACAGAAGGATCACAAGTTTGAGCCTAGCTGGGGCAGCTTGGCAAGACCCTGTCTTGAACTATATTGGAATATTTTGCTGAATTCACACATGCACAGTATTTAAATGACAATAGAATACCCTTCTCTGACAAAACTAAACAAAAAAAGGGGATACAAATGAAAGACCATTTTCTATCTGTATATTTAAAAGTTAAGATAGATATACAGCTACTTTCTCTTAATTCAATGGACAGAATGATTTGTCTAATAGTGTTTGTGGACAGGATATCATGTCTGCATCTTGTACTATGAATAACCACTAAGAAGACAATAATGTGCAATGTATTAATTATTGAAACTGTCTCATTGCTATTTGTTTCACAATAAAAATATTTTTTAAAAATATATAAAAAAATGGTGGGGGGATATAGCTGGACCCAAGGCCCTGGGTCCAGTCCCTAATATTAGACACACACACACACACACACACACACACACACACACACACTCTAAAAAAAAATACAACATATGTTATGAATGCTAAGGAAACTTACATTTAAAGGAAGTTACTACAGCAGGGATATAGCTCAATAGTCTGGCAAGTGCAAGGCCCTGGGTTTAATTCCTAGTACCATAACAGAAAACAAACAGCCCATGGATCATGTAAGGATGCTTCAGTCACCAAAGGACCATGCAGACCACAGCAGCCGCCCCACCACTACAAGGAAGCATCAACATCTCCTGCAGAGCCTCTGGCCTAATCAAGTTATTGTTGTCATGTCATAGCACAAAGCATCATGTGTTTCTGGGATGTGGGTACAGTGATGAAGCCATCCCATCATGCATTTCTTCATTACACAATGCATGACTATACAGTGGTAGCCTGGGCTGGACAGCCTTGACCTCCTCCCGCCCAGTGCACTACAGGTATTGGCAGGATTGAGCCCCTTTGCCAACCGCCAACCACCCATGCTGCCATGCTCGGAGTAAAAAGGATAACTCCAGCTGGTCAAAAAAACAGAGCAAGATCAAATTTAAAAATACACACACATCATTGGTGTGCTATGTCTGGAAATTATTTCTGGTTAGAGAGGGAATTTGGTTTAGTTAAGTTTCTTTCAAAGGAAATTTATCCCTCCCCCCACAGTTCATAGCAGCACAGGAGGCTGCCAGATTAGCAGGGAGCCGAGGGTGAGAAAGTGTCATGTGGACATGCTCAGCTAACCCTGACCCTTCTGGGTCCTCCCACATCCATGGAGCATGAACTGGAAGGGCAGGAGCACCCTCTCTCTTCCTGCCTTTATGCATCGTGATTTCCTTTCCCAGGCTTGGCTTGGGGCCAGCCCTTCTGTCCTGCCATCTTCTGAGACTGTGTATAACTCCCTCCCTTCATTTATATTGCTTCTGTGATGTGTAACTTTATCATGTTCCTCCAGAGCCTTCTCTTTTTCTAGGTTATATAAATTTAGCTCTTCATCCTCCTTTGTAGCTTGCCCTCCAATCCTCTTGCTGGTTTATTAATTTTCCTTCATTCTTTCCACATGTTCACAGGTACACACCCCTTTTTTGCATGTTAAAGGGCCATGGGAGAATGGCCTGAAGATGTGAAAAGTCAAATTGTAACTAAGAAAGGGAAAAAATGGGAACTATCTTGAGTCTGATAGTAAATGTGTGGAAACTTAGAAGGAGGCTTATGAAAATGTTGTATTTGTGAGATTATGGTTTTTGGAAATTATATTCTCTTCCCTTTTCTGGATAGAATTTAATTAACATCAGTCTATAAGATGTTTTCAACTTGTGCCAGGGCATGGTCAAGGGTTGGATCTTTCTCTGGTGTTCCTATTTTCTCCATCATCACCCTATTCTCAATTTTTTCTCCTCCTAAATATCACTTGCTGCTCTCCATCTAGGGATGAGAGAGAGGACATGAGCATTAACCCTACCTCCTGCCTCAGGGTGCCTTGGAGTCCTCTATAGGAGCCAGCTACTTTCTCTTAATTCAATGAGAAGAAAGATTTGTACTAATAGTGTTTAGATAGGATATTATGTCTGCATTTTGTACTATGGATAACCACTATGAAGACAACAATATGCAATGTATTAATTATTGAAACTGTCCTACTAATCAGTTTTGAAACTATCTCATTGCTATTTGTTTTGCAATAAAATTAATAAAAAAAAACCCATAAAGTCAGCATAGGTGTCTGGAGACATGTTCCCACCTCCCTGGCCTCTGAGCTTTCCAGCCTACAAAACTGAATTTGGAGGTACAGCTCAGGTTGTTTAATTTCACTACAGAAGAATAGCTGATTACAAGGAGTAGAATCAATGAACCTATAACTAGTCTTTTTTTTTTTCTAGAAATACTCTGGAAATTCACATTCTTTTCCTTTTGTGATTTCAAAAGCTTCACTTCATTTCTCTCTCCCTTTGCCCTGGCTCCTCCAACTTTGTTTCAGGAAGTTGAAAGGAAAAACCATTGTGTGTCCCTGGATTTAAATGCACTTCTAGCACCGGGGCCTAAGAAGAGCAACTATTTCTAGACTTCCCCTGTTACAACAGCAAGGCACTCAGCTCGGTGTAAATCTGAGGTCTGATTTTACTCGAGATGAAATTCTGGAAAACAATATCATGCTTTTAAACAAAATTTAATGGTTAAACATGGACCTCAGAGCCCAAGGCCCTCCAGAGCTTTTGCTTTATGCTGCGGACAGATGGCTATATCCATCTTTGACCTGTGAATATCTCCAACTGTAAAGAAGTTCTAAGGTGTCCTTTTCTCACATTCTTAGCAACAAAAATGAGACAGAAGCTTACTAAGTTTCTTTTTTCTCCAGACTGTCACCTGATGCAGTTGCCCAATGGTAAGTGAAACAATGGAACTTTCCACCAGTCTTTCATTAGGTATAGTTTAGCTCCTGTGCTATTACTTGTGTTTTGTGGCTTTTATACTTACTCTAACAAGGTCATTCTTATCTTTGTAGGAACCAAATGTTATTTAAAAAAAAAAAATCCCAGACAACATTATTCTAGGTCTACAAATGGCTTAGCTTGATGACTAAGTCCTCTGAATTCACCTAATTTGATTCTCAGCAGGCCATCATGTTTTCCAGCTGGTTTTAGTTGGTCTATGGTCCCATCAGGAAACTGGGAAGGAAGGAGGCAGGTGGTGGTTAAAAAGACCAGGGCTGGTAGGTGTTGTGTGAGCAGAGTTTAATTAGGGGATGCGGGGTGGTAGAGCAGATACACAGATTTTTTACAGATATAGTGAATTTTATCCCCTTAAAACTCATGTGTGGAAGCCTTAATCTTCAGTACCTTGCAATATGACTGTATTTGGACTTACAGGGTTTTTTTGCATAATTTTATTGAGGAATAAATAGCAATGAGACAGTTTCAAATCAAATTGGTAGGACAGTTTCAATAATTAACACATTGCATACATTCTTCCTAGTGGTTAATTGCTGTACAAGATACAGACATGATATCCTATTTACAAACACTATTAGAACAAATCCCTCTATTCATTAAGAGAATGTCGCTATATATCTATCCTAACCATTTTGAATACACAGATACAAAATGGTCATTCATCTGTATCCCCTTTTTGTTTAGTTCTGCTATTTAAATATTATAGGTGTGTGAACTCAGCAAAATGTTCAAAAAAAAAAAATGTTCCAAAATAGTCCAGTAGTCCATAATAGTATTGGGTCTTCTGCTTGACTGGCAAGGTCAGAAATTGTTGACCTGAGTCCCCTACAGCTCAACATAACACCATAGCTTTACTTCTTATCCTTCATTTTTATACTTTTCTGCTGGATGGTTAAGACCAAGGTAAAGGAGGAGGGAGATACAGTTTTTAAAGAGCTTAATTCAGTTACAATGAGGCATTTTCTTTCCTGCTTATTCATACCTTCCGGTGTTTTAATTTATTAGGTTATCATAATATTAATTTTGGGGGGCTGGGGAGATCACTTAGTGGAATAAGCACTTCCCTGGCAAGCACAAGGGCCTGAGTTCAATCCCCGGTTCTGAAAAAAAAATTAATTTTTGCTTTGTTTTCTGAAGTAGTTTCCCTCTAAAGTCTAGACTTCACTCCTCCTTCCTCCACCTCAGGTGTGCCACGGTCACAGGTTTACACCCCTGAGCCTGGCTGTAATATCCCTCCCTGTGTGTATCAAAGCTTATACTGAACAATGGGCTCTAGATTACAAACAGGATTTTTTTTTTTTTCGCATCTATCCTTAAGTCTTAGTCCACATGTTAGAGTAAAACAGATACACAAGTGCCACCAAAACAAACCTTTTGAATGAACTCCACTCCAGTGTCACTGCTGACCTCTCAGAGGACATAATGACAAACACATAACATCTCTAGATATACTAGAGAAACACACACAGAGAGCAGAGGCCAAGTGAGGACAGAGCAAGAGATGGCCACCTAGAACCCATGAAGAGAGACTTCAAGAAGAAATCAAACCTACCAACACCTTGATCTTGGACTTCTAGCAACTAGAACTCTAAGAAAATAATGGCTATAGTTGAAGTCAGCCAGTTTGTGACATTTTTCGACAGCAAACAAACACTGAAATTAAAATGAAAATAGAGATAGAGGCAAGAGATCACACAGAATGATGGTGGAAGCCCAGTGATGCAATGGGAACTCTCACATCTGAGGATCATTCAGATCCCCCTACAAGGTGGCCCTGTAGTAGGCAGCTGGAACCCTCAGCTGACCAGTTTTCAGCCTTCAACTTGTAGAGTGGGCTCCAAAGACCCAAAAGTCATAACCAGTAAGCAGCCAACTTTCACGCATACTTTCCCATCATACATATAATAAAATGGATCCCTTTTCTTTTTCTGTGAGCAGAGGAGGAGGATCTAGCTAAGCAACATGGAGATTTTGAGAGAAGCAGAAATAAAAAGATGAACAACATAGGAACCCTTTCGTGTTAGGATGATCCTCTGAAGGACAAAATGTGTGTCTGTGTGTGGTGGTTGATACGCTGTGCCAACTTGAGAAGTTGGAAGCGTGGCTGGATTGGATCAGTGACTCCATACCCTGGGGCATGGAGGCTCCTCCCTAGGATGTAGAGGGCCACCCTAGAGTGACTCAGCACAGAAAGGATATAAAAGGGAGCTGAGGAAGGAATCTGTGCACCATTTCCTTGGAGGAGCTCTAGTCTGCAGTCAGTGTGGAAGGAAGTGTAGCTCTTTCTCTGAGGCTTTCTGGTCTTCACAGTTGTCGTGGAAGAAAAAGAGGCTTGCTAGATGCCACAGATGCTGCTTCTCCCATTCTCTTTGGTGTTTTCCACCCCATGAACTGCTGCTCTCTGCCATGTTCCACTGTGTCTTGGAGCCAGTGGAATATGGACTGAAACCTCTACAAACTGTGAGCTAACTAAACCTTTCCTTCCTTAATTCTGGGTGTTGGGTATTTTGTCTCAACAATGAGAAAAAAGTAACTGAGACACCACTGATGCCATAGATTGTGTATGACACACATCTGTGGTAGAAAAAGCACCATGTCCCAGTCTTCAGAATCTCACATGACAAAGGGGGTTACATGACTGATAGCTCAGGCCTTGCAGTGGGGAGCTTATTCTAGTTTGTCAGATGGACTCAGTAGAACTGAGCAGGCACTTGTAAGTGGGAGCAAGGAGAAGCAGAGGAGGAGGATTTGACAGTTGGAAGATGTAAAGATGTAATCAGGGGTTGTAAGCTGAGGAATATGAGTAGCTTCCAAAAGTTGGAAATGGACAGAAGTGTATTCTCTTCTAGATCCTCCAGAAGGAACCACTCCTGCCAATACATTACTTAAGCTCAGTGAGACTGATTTGGACTTCTGACCTCCAGGACTAAACAATAACTTGTGCTGATCTAAGCCACTAAGTATGCATTAATCTGTTATGGTAGCAATAGGAAGCTAATAAGACATCTCAGCAAATCGTCCCTTCTATCTTCTCTCCCTTCCCCTTTTTCTTCTGTCACTCTTGTCCCCTCTCTGTACGTCTCTGTCCCTCCTTCCCCCTTTCTTTCCTCCCTTCCCCTTACTGCACCCTTTTTCTCTCTCTTCCCCCAGTGGCTTTCTGTCAGCTGTAGAGCATGAATTGGAAGTCTTCTGAGGACAGTGTTGTGCTGTCTGTTCAGCCTGTAACCTTTAACCTGTCACAGCTCAGAAGTGGCTCCTGGACCAAAGTTCCAAGCACTAAGCAACAGTTACACACTCAATTCTACCAGTCATGGTGGCTTGGATGGCTTCAAAGAATAGCCAAAATTTGGCTTTGGCCCACCAACTTCAGACAAATTACAGCTTTACGTATTTTGAGAAAGTTGAGGCACTGCCACAGGTGCTTTGCTGTGAGTTTTCAGTGCTCTGGGCTTAATCTAACAACCATACGAGGTAGGCACTATTTTCATTCCCATTTCTAAGACAGGAAAGTAGATACATAGAGCAGAAAGTTTACAGAATCTCAGTCTCATCTAAGTCCCAAAGCTCATGGAGATGATGTTTGTAAGGTAAGCAATCCCTTAGGTGAATAATCTAGTTTGTATCTTGGTCCTCCAGATGAAGCATAGTAAAAAATCTTACTATGAGCACAGTGATTTTCTAGAATCTCCTTTATGGATGGCTCTGGTTTGGACAGCAGTTTGGTGTAGTTAGCTTGGAGTCAGAGAACCCTCACTGAATCTCAGCTCTAACTGTGAGATCTTCAACAATACAGCAAAGAGGCTGTTAAAATGACAGACGTCCTTCTACCCTGCATCCTATCGGTAGGAATACAGTCTTTGAAAATAAAAGGACCAGTTGCATAAAACCACACAGTAGAGGATAATGAATGTAGACTTGTTTATAGGAAAGGGGAAAAAATGAATGCTTCTCACAGGGGAATGGTTAAATAAATGAGCTATGTCCAAAATATGAAATAACATGTAGCTATTAAAACAATGTGCCACATGTAAATGAGGTAATTTAGGAAGAAATTCCATAAAGTATTGCATGTTGAGAAATACAAAATGCAGATAAGCGTGCGTAACACAGGACCCTTTTTATATGTCATTTGCAAAACTACTATGTGTGAGATTATATAAGCATGGAAAAGGAGCATTAAAAATACTACCAGACAAAATTTAACATTCATCCTTAATATTTAAAAAGTGCAATAAAGTAGTGTTAAAGCCTGTAGTAAAATAAAGTACTTCAATCATAACCCCAAAGCTAGCATTATGCTTAATGAGAAGCACTAAAACATTCCCATTAAAGTCAGAAATAGAACTTGGTGTTGTACTAGAAGTCATAACGGGTATCACTGGCAAAGAGAAGGAAATCAGAGTTCTGAAATTTGGACAGAAAAAGGAAAAATGATCATATTTGCAGATACAATGAATTGAGAAAACAAGAAATCTGAGAAGCTACCGTGATGTATAATTGAATGCAGAAAAGTTTCAGGGTGTAAAAACAGTAGCAAGCTCAGCGGCCATGCGCATGTGTGCATGCCACTGCCACAGAGTGCAATAATAAAAGAAAATAACACATGAATATAGCAACCAAGACAGGAACTAGTAAGAATAGAGTCCATAATAGAAACGTGTATCTTAGAGACATAAACACTTCTTAAAGATGAAAAGAAACACAATGATGATTTGAATTTGTAAGTTTATATTTCATGCAATGTCAATAAAAATATCCAGTGTATTTTTTAAAAACTTGATATGATTTTAAAGCTCTAATGGACACATAAACCAGAATTATTAATAAAGTCTCAAGAAGAATAGCATAGAGAATTGGTCATACTAAATGTTAAAACATTTAAAACCTTTAGTTATTATTATGGCCTACTGGACTATATTGGAATATTTTGCTGAATTCATATACCTACAGTATTTAAATGACAATGTAATACCCATCTCTGACAAAACTAAACAAAAAAGGGGATACAAATGAAGGGCCATTGTGTATCTGTATATTCAAAATAGGATAAATATACAGCTATTTCTCTTAATTCAATGAATAGAGAGATTTGTACTAATAGTGTTTGGATAGGATATTATGTCTGCATTTTGTACTATGGATAACCACTATGAAGACAACAATATGCAATGTATTAATTATTGAAACTTTCCTACTAATTGGTTTTGAAACTGTCTCATTGCTATTTGTTTCTGAATAAAATTATTTTTTAAATCAATAAATAAAACCTTTAGTTATTAAAACAATACTATAGGAGCATAGGAATAGATAAACTTATGGAACGGGACAGAAAATTCAGAAAGACATATCTATATAGAGATTTCAATGCAGTATGTAATAAATAAGGTGTTTCAAATCAGTGATGAAATGATTCATTAAATGGTATTGGGGTAAGTGGAGGTATATCTAGATATTTGTAAATTGGATGCATGCATTAAGCAGTGGGATTGTTTCCAAATAGATTAATGATTTAAATGTGAAAGCCAAAACCACAAAAAGTCTAGATCTAAAACACAAAGAAATTACCTTATAACCTTGGATTGGTGACAGTCTTCCCAGTTAGGAGTCAAATCTACAGATAATAAGATAAAAACTTATAAATTTGACTGGAGAGAGGGAAGAAGGGAGGGAGAGTGGGGAAGGCAGAGGAAAACAGCAGTCATGTCACGTATGTGTACCAACTTCTGACGAGGGATGCAGACGGCACGTATGACGCACATGGGTTAATAAGCTGAAAAACATTTAATGGACAAGAAAGGCAAAGCCATGCCATGCCAACCCCACCCCCAGGGTGCTCTGAGACTGAGATTGAGACTGGACTTGGTGGCATGTGCCTATAATCCCAGCACGTGGGAGGCTGTAAACAGGAGAAGCACTATGAGTCGGATCTAGTAGTGAGACCATGAATACCCTATAGACTCTTCCCTAAAAAAATTACAAAAAGAAAAAAAAAAAACAAAACAAAAAAAGAATGGCAAAGCCCCCCAAAATCTCAATGAGCAAAATACCATATTTAGGGTTCAAGACCAGAGACAAACTAGAGAAAGCCACTCACAGCTCATGGCATGAAGGGGGACGTCCCTGATACATGAAGGGAACATCCAATCGGAAAGCAGAATATAGACAGCGGGTACAAATAGATGGTGCACTCAAAAGGGAAACACGAACATTCTTAAACCAATGTATTAAACGTGGCTATCCTTTTTCATTATCAAATAATTCAAAATACCTAGAATTACAAATTTTTCAACTATTTGGTTAACGAAAGTCCAAAAGCTTGATTAAAAGCTGTTGCTAGGGCTGTGGGGAAACAGGCACCT